TTGGTGTCTTGGAATGCTGAAAAAGCAAAAGAGAAAAAGATAAAAGTTAAAGATAAAGAAACAACAACCTTTCGATTGATCACATCACACGGTTCACACCCCACACCTGTGTTTGTGTTTGTATTTGTGTGTGTCTCTAGTTTAAGTTAAGCATGCTAGATTTTACTAAATCTCACTTGTTGACTCTGTCACAAAGAAAATCTCATATGTATTTTTTTTTTTTTTGTTCAAAAAAATCTCATATGTAAACAGAAAAAATCATATGCGCTTTGAGTAATTTGTATGTCTCAAAAGAAACAATATTCACACTCTTTCGACCATAGGAAATATAATTTTATACGAAAATAGTGAATATTGTTGATCTCAATTTCAAGTTTAGATAGTTTATTATAAGGATTTACAAATCAATTGGTTAAGAACATTCATTATTGTATTTGAAATAAATTTTAATTTCTATCTCTTCTTCAGTATTATTTGTATATATATATAATCAACGAGTCTAGGTAGCTTGCTAATGCTCAACATTGGGCCACAAGGTATATAAGTATCACTCGAATATTCATTGCTTCTATACATATATAAACATATAAATACGGTTTTAATATATTCGTTGCTTCTAACGTATATAAAAATAAAGTAAGAACATTAATATATTTAGAAAGAAAGCTTTATCCAATTACTATTTGAAATGTTATAAGGATCGTTGGGTAGTTTGCTAATGCATACATACATATTATAAATGTGATCAAGAATATAATAACCTTTATTTAATGGGCTTCCTAATAATTAAAGTATATGGTATATGGTTTTCATCCAATTTTAATATCATACGTCTTTCAATTCTTTTAATTTTTCACATTTTGGTTTTCATTTTTTTTTTGAAACTGAAAATAGTTATCAAACATAATTTTAGTTTACAGTTTAAAAAAAAAAATCATAATTGAAAACTGAAAACGAAATTGCTACGGCCCCTTAATTTTTATTACAAGTTAATGTTCACGCATTTGGATTTATGTTAGTCTATACTATCACCCTGAATTAGGGCAAACGGTTGAGATCATGTGGTTTTCTTGACCTTCTAACATGAGCTTTCATTTTTGATAGCTACACGCCTTAATGTTCATTCATGAAGCTATTGCTTACACTTGACGAATAAGATTTTCTCTAGTCGAACCGAAGCTCGAATTTAGAATCTGTGTTCAATTACTCGTCATCTGCATATAGCTTCTATCAACAAATAAAAAAATTAAGCTCAAACTCATCCAAGCCCATTTGTTATTGCTTGGAACCTATGATTTATGGACTTAAATTCGAATTTTTGAGGGGCAATATTCTCTCTTTACTTTCCCTTGGCTAAATATCCAAAATGGCCTATGAGATTTGCATAATCAATAGAAATGGTCCATGAGATTCAAAATTTAAATGGTCTTTGAGATTGTCTACCATCCATGCCATCTATGATTTTGGTCATTCCGTTAAAAATTCTTTGGACAATTTTTAAAGCTTCGTAATTCAATCGATTCTTAACCAAATTCGACCCATAATATATCAAAATGAAGATAGGAAAGTGTAAAACAAGATTATACATATTTGAAAGCCCAATGATTGCCGTAGATAGCCAAAAAATAGTCTGAAAAGTGACTGGTTCGCGAGAAAACTGAAAAACTCGCACGAAACTGAGTATACTTTAAACGTTCATAACTTCTTCAATAGTCAACGAAATCGAGTGATTCAAAAATGAAAATCATACTTCTCGATGAGACGAAGATAATGGTACTTTTCCTGACGGCTAAATCGCCGTGGTTTGGCTGGAAAATGGCTCTAAAGTGGCTAACTAGAACTTTCAAGCCGTTTTCCAGCCAAACCAAGGCGAGTTAGCCGTCGAGAAAGGCACCATTATCTTCGTCTCATTGAGAAGTGTGATTTTCGTTTTTGAATCACTCAATTTCGTTGAGTATTGAAGAAGTTATGAACGTTTAAAATTTACCCAGTTTCTGATGAGTTTTCCAGTTTTCCCTCGAACCAGTCACCTTTCAGGCTATTTTCCTGTTTCTCAGGCAACCATTGGGCTTCCAAATAGCTATAATCTTGTTCTACACTTTCCTATCTTCATTTTGATATATTATGGATCAAATTTGGTTAAGAATCAATTGAATTACGATGTTTTAATAGTCCAAAAAGTTTTTAACAGAATGATCAAAATGGACAATCTCATGAACTATTTCTATTGATTTTGAATTTCAGGGACCATTTCTATTGATTATGCAAATCTCAGGGAACATTTTGGATATTTAGCCTTTTCCCTTTGGTCGCCTGACTCATACAAGACAGCTCCATAGGCCGAATATGAACAGTCGGACAGCCTAATCATAAGATTTTAGAGCAAAGGGTCTTAACCTCCCTTTGCCATGTGATATCCCATACAGAAAAGCAGTTTTTTTGTTCTTTTGTTTTAAGGTCAGAAGTGGAAGAAAGCAGCTGCAAAAACGTCCTGTCATGTTCTTCACGAGTTCTCTTCTACCAGTTCTTATCTGCAGACTGCAGTGAACATTTATGTATCAATCAATACAGCTTCTACATGATCATTACAGAGAAGTAGGGTTTTGAAAAGATTACAGGACATTAAAAAGCTCAGTACATATTTGAAAAATTGTGAAAAGAACGACCGTAAAGTCTTCGAGAACGACATTTTCGGAAAGATGGAATGGAAGTGGAACATAATATCACAGCTGACAGCCCCATATAACGCTTCCAGGAGTGGGGGTATCCGGCTATGACCAAATATCACCCTAAACTATCAGTTAATTTACCTTCTTTCCTTAAACAACCTTACTTTACCAAAAAAAATAAGCCAAAATTCATTCACTTTGAAAAAGTGTCTTCATTTGTCTAGTAGTACACCTACCTTGGTGCATGTCAGAGTAGCTGTACAAATCTTTTCTACAAAACTGTTTCAGTAGGAAATGTTCATTGCTTGTTTGTATGGCTTCCACCCACAATAATCACACTATTTCAGTACACATGTGCTCTTGCATTGTGCAAAACCCACATGGTAAAAGCAACTTTGCGTGCTTAGTCACAACTCACAAGGTAAAACATTAGGTACATAAAGAAGGGGTGTGATATCCACACACTCTTTTTTACTTATCACACATCTTTTTAATTTTTGATTGTCGGATCAGATGAATTGAAGAAGATAAAATGATAGAAATTAACAAGAGGTGTGTGAGAAATAGAAAGAAGTGTGTGGATAGCACATTAGCACTGTAAAACTTAAGTATGCTGAGGGTTTCACTTCAATTGCATACCCATCAACACTGGGATGCATGTATTTATAATAATCCAAAGTTACAGCATGGGTTTGAAAAACCTAGATACAAGGAAGTTTTGAAAGTTTAAAAATACAAACAGAAAGCTATCTGCGCAGCTTAGATTACAACAGGTATTTAAAAAAAACAAATCCTATAAACTAGGAATGGCTGAAAGGATAAGAGTTTGAACTAAATCAACTCCTCAAGGTGCGGTGATAACATTCACGTTGACTTCGTCTAACAAGCACACCCCATAAATAAATGTATCAACTATATATTTTAAGAGAATTACGATATTCATTAGTATTATGAACAAAATCGTAAAAAAGACGATATGGCTATTATACCTTATAGCATCGTAGTTAGCCCAAAATAAAATCACCATGGCTGTACCAGTTATGTACAAAACACTTACGTATTTCAAATTGTCGATCTTGGCTATTATACCTTATAGCATCGTATGTATTTCATCTCCGCAGCACGATCAGGCTGCAAAATTCATTAAGCTAAAGCAATCGCAGGGCAACTCTCCTTTGGCAGGTCAATGAAAGTGATTGTAGTTTCATCATTCACCAGTGCCTGCCAAGAGGGAGGAGCCCTATGACTGATTTGCTTATTTGACAAGTACTTCTTCTATCACAGATGCTTCTGGGTTTTCAACAACGGCACTGCCGGCACGAGTTATATAAGTTCTTTGATTTGGGGTCAAAGACTCTAACTCAGAGAGATGGAATAAAAGCAGTGAGAAGAAACAGCATATCCAATGGATTATGCTTTGGGAACATCCATCAGGGCTGCTTTTTCTGGATTTTTATTTGGGTTGGGGGTCACTCCCTGCTGCAAGAATTTCTCTACCTTTTCAGAGCCTTGAAAACGCCATATCTTTTCATGTGAGATTCTTCCACTCTCTGAGTCCATGCAATGAAGTTGAAAGCAGGAAAAAAGTAGATGAAAAGAGATGCCTTTATCCTCCCCAATTTCTTATATATAGCATATCCTCATCTTATTCCCCTACTGTCTTTTTGTTTTAAGCGCTGTTTGTTTATGTTTTATGTGTGATTACATTGGAGGGTTTCGAGCCCTGGACCTAACCGACATTTGCAATATATATTGTTAGCATTTTGTGTCTTGAAGACAAATTACCCTCCCCTTTATGTTGAAATTAGATCCAAATTTATTTGACTTTAGTAGTTTGCCACACCTGTGTTCATTTCAGTCTTACTCGTGCCAGTATGTATCTAACTCTTTCTAACCAAGCCATGATTAAGCGCAAGCCAGTCTTTATTTCGTAATAACTTTTCAAATCTTCCTTTTACCAGTCAGTTGTCAAAATGATCACAACTAAAGAAAACAAGCCTAGCTAGCACTAGAAAAAACAACTTTCTTGCAACGGTCCTACATTTATGGTCATGTACTACTCACATGAATCGTGATGTAGCAAATGTGCGATGCCAGTTTCATGCAAAGGATGAAGGAAAAGTTTTCTCGTAGATGACAGACTATATGAAGTATGAGCAGCCCTTTGGATCATCAAGTTCTAGCTGTTGTGTCATCCGCAACTCCTTGTTTCTTCCTATCTAGTCTCTTAAAACAGAATCGGAAATGCTTGCCTTTTGGTCTTAGTGAACTGAATAATCACATGATGTTCCAATCTAACTGGAAATTCTATATTTTGGTAGGAAAATAGAATATGACAACAAAAATATAGATTATTAACTCTTAAGGTTCCAATCTATACAATATTCAATCAAATATCTCAGAGACATCTATTCCAATAATCATTAATCGACTTTATCTTTGGGCAACAAAAGTGATCACATCAATTTTTATTTTTCGATCCACGGAGTAATCTGTCATGCAGAATCCTTTGTCCCATGTACCTGCACCAGATACAAAGCAAACATAAAAAAATGCAGGTTTTATTAATTTTATATAACATTTTATTGAATAACAAGACTATCACACATGTATATATACTTACCTTCCAAGCATCATAACAGTAGCTTGAGGATTAGTACCCGGGGTGCGATAAAACGTCGAGCCATCAACAACCCGAAGAGAATCAATACCAAGAACCCTATATCCTTTATCAACAACCCTTCCAACTTGACAACCTCCATGATAGTGCCATATGGTCATCACAGTGTCTATGCAGAATTGTTCCAAAGAAAATGTAGCGTTGGCATGCTTTCGCCTTCCGTTAACTGGTAAAGTCAGCATCAGGTTAATGAGAGCTTCAACCGGCATGTTTTTGTAACGGAACTTTGAGTAGGCTTTGGAGTTCACAACATCGATAATGGTCCTCATGCCTTCAATGCACTTCCTTAAGTCTTCTGGTTCTTTGAAGTAGTTAAAGGTGACAAATGGATTGTCATCAGGGTTTGTGTTCCTCAGCGCAAGATGGCCTGTGGAGAGTGGACCCATGATTTTTTCAAGTATGACTCCGGCTCTGAGAGTTTTATTGACAATTCCGTTTACAGTATCAGCTGCCCAAGCCATGATTTTTGGTGAAGCTCTAAAAGGATGGTGCTCAGGCTGCAAATGTGAAACCAAATTTGAAATTGTGAATTGGTTCGTTTTTGTTATATCTCTATCTATTAAATCCACGTATCGGGAAATATGTACGTACAGAATCTTTGCAAACATTTTATAAAAAAAATAGAGCTAAAGTATACTAAAGAGATATTAATCTGTAAAAACTATGATTTGAAGCCTGTTTATACGAGAGATTTTTCTGTGTGACTGGAATACGGGGTGGTACACCGTGTATTCTTATACAAATAGTGGGATATGTGTGTCAAAAAGTTAATAACTTAAAAAATATAATTTCTAACTACTTATATAAAAACACGTGGTGTATTACCAGTGTTCCGGTCACAATGTAAATTTTCTCCTATTTATACTATGTTTAGTTATGATCGGTTCTATCTATGTGTCTATAGTTACCAAACTCGTAAGAGCATCTTTAACAGCTCCCACAAATGTAACTTTTCAAATACGAGTTTGTTGCATTATGTGGCAATTTGAAGATTAAACTTTGCTACTTCACAATTTTGTTCTCCAACAGGCTCTATAAATTTTAATATTATAATATCTAATACGAAACAAGGTGGTCTCACGTTGTTTTGTTGTTGTTGAATTAATTAATGGAATATCGTGAGAAAGTACACATTATTGTAATAAAAAAAATGTTTGAAGATTTGGTTAGAAACTCTCTAAACCTAGAGAGTGTAGTACAAATCCTAAATTTGAAGAATGAGTTAGCAACTCTCTTGGAGCAAGGAAATCCTGTATGGCTCTACACATTTAGTTAAAGTGAATTAAGCAACTGTCATGGTGATGCTCTAACCCTACCTATGGTAATTGGGCCTGATGTTGCACAATAATGTAGTTAAAAGCTGAGCCCAAAAATGCATAGGCTGGCAAGACAAGAGAACAGAAGTAAGAAATGGAAACCTGACTCAAGAAGTGCTTAAAGTGATTGGAAAGCCTATGAGCCAAGGGAATGGGAAGGGTCAATCCGCTAGCTCCTTCAATGTAGCTTTCAAACTTTGTGATGCCCACAACTTGAACCAGGGAGACCTCAACTGGTTGAGGTGAGGGAATGAGCAGAAGATTCATTGGATTATCCGCCATTCCCTGGCCGACCATGGGTTGGTCTGCTACCACCTTGATGCCGTGAGCTCGGAGATGGAAGGCGGGCCCCACGCCACTCAGCATCAACAGTTGAGGGCTCCCAATCGCACCGGCTGATAAGATGATTTCATTCTTCTTGGAGTTCATTTTTAGGTATGCATAGTGCCTAATACCGTGTGCATCTCTATAAATCACACCATAAGCTTGCGGTCTTAGTCTTCCTGCATAAAAAAAGTAGTTACACCATGAGCTAACTACTAAATAAAAAAACTATATTTTGCAATTTTTTCGTATAAATATATGATTTTTCTAACATTATTGGTCAATAAACGCTTACCAGGAATGTGTCTAAACAAGATTTTTTGTACACGTGCATTCAAATAAACATTGATCTTTCTAGGGTCTGCATACTGAAGCAAATCTGCAGCTGTGTGTCTATGTCCATCTGCATCAAAAATACTCCCACCAACTTTAGTCCCATACAAATGCTCATAGGTAAACCCATTGTGAGGCAAGACTCCCACTTCAAGCAAACCATCTCTGAAAGCAGTCTCCCACTGCAAAATCTCCGGTTCAAAAGCCACCACTTTCTCAACCCATTCATACGACTGATTGACCATTCTCTGGTTCCAACCTACTTCCTTGATGTAATGTGTGCTGGCACGCGTGTAAAACCCAGCGTTCACTGCTGAGCCGCCACCCAGCACTCGTGCCCGGATGTTAAAGACGCCATCCTCGGAGGTGAACTGCTGGGCTGGGGATGTGGGAGAGATATCCAAAAGAGTGGGGGCAAATTTGTCAATGTTGATTATGTTCGGATTGCCATAAGGCGAGCCGCCTCTTTCCAGGACTAAAACGGTGGCACCGTGAGAGAGAGTGGCCGCTAGCGGACACCCTGCGGTGCCTCCGCCAATGACTATGTAGTCATAGTGAACCACTGCTGGGGCTGATATTGCTTCTCTAACAAATGTATAGTCCGGAGCTGCACACATATTTATAATGGAAAAGAAAAATTAATTAAAATGCTCATTCATTTATTTAATTTGTAACAACTTATGCGTACAATATTCATACCTTTATCGGAATAACAAATGGGAAGCAACAAGAGAATTCCAGCAAGAAGATAAGCTTCAAAAAATGTAGTACACATTGTGACCTCTAATATAATTAACTTTCCCCAGAGATAATAAAATTAATTTTGCAACATATATATGAAGATCTGGGTGTGTTCTTGATTTTAATTACCAAAAACCACACTAGCTACTCACCCTTAAATAAGCCTAAATCCTTAAGGCCCAGTGCCCTAGCAAACGTTCTTTGTGCACAAAAAGAACGACCTAAAGATGTAGATACATTTTTAGTTGAACAACATAAATTTTCACCCACTCATGTAAAGAATCAATGCTCTTCATACGCACCATTTCCATTTTTGATCACTAGCTTAAACCCTAATTAGTCGCTTCCTTGTACACGAAGCACAGTCGTCGAAGTTACAAAATCTCAGACTCATGGCCCCATGCATGCAGAACATTAAGTATTACTGAAATTTGAGGAATATATAAAGTCGTCACGTAAAATGGAAATGTTTATTAATGGTACGAATTTTGGATCCTATATATTGTCTAATATATATTCAACTGCGTGCACCGACCGAGTACTTGTTTTTTTATGCCTTGATCGAAAGTTTTTGGTAGCTAGGTCTAATTAAATGAAATTAACTTTTTTGAAGTAGCTCAACTGCACGGAGAGGTATTGGTTGAATCTAGTTAATTCCAAGATTATCAATGGAGGTCCTTTTGCGTAGTCAATTACCTGAGGACCTGACTTGGTTTCATTTCCAGATGTAAATTCTACTTCTGGATTAAAAAGTGAACAAAGAAGCATTATTTTCCTTTCTCTAGGAGGAAATTTTGTTGGATAGTTCATTCAGTTGTAAATATATGACTAATTGCAATTTTTTTTTCTTCGGAAACTGGAAATGTATTAACCCTGGCAAGGGATGCCAAAGAGTACAACGAAAGCCAAACAACAGACAAACAACCAAAAAACAGATAGGAAGTACAAGGGGGTAGAAAACCCGACACTCGAAGCCAAGCTCAAAGTGTCCCCCCTTGCACCCCGAGCACAAAATTAAGGCGGGTAAGGTAAACCATCATTATTCAGGACATGCACTTGCGAAGATGGGTGTCGATCAACCCAAAACACATCACACATCTCCACACATCTACGCAACACCAAATGGTCAACAGCCAAATTGGCTAATCTTGGAATCCAAGACCAACGAAAGTGCAATGTTAGAATGAATCAATATTATCCTACTCATAGTCAACAATAACTCCGGCACATTCATTACATGGCCTTAGGACGATGCATATCGAGATTATACAAAAAAGTTTTTTTATTTTTTTTTTTAAGTTTATTCCAGAATAAAAAAGGGCTAACAAACCGAACTACACATTAAGACGATTGGACGGAATCTAGCCCCCAATTATCCTATATGCATTAGGAGTACAAACAGCTAAAAAGCATTAACGTAACGTAAAGGATTTGCATATAATCCCTAAATGTTTGGCTTAGAGCTTGTTTTGACGTGATAATATGGGCATGCCACTTTCTATGTTGAGTGTTATGTCACATTAAGAAAAGAAGGGACATTAAATGTGCTTATAAATAATTGTGGTATTTCTTATATTGTCAATTAGTTTTATAGTGAAATCTTAAACTTTTTTTATGGTATCAAAGCAAATTGTTTTGCATATTAAATCCAACGGCTACACGTACTCCACGTTACCCTGTTTGTGTTGTCCATGTGTTAAGCTTGAAAATTCATTACAAGTGTGGAGGGATGTTGAGAGTGTTAATCCACATAGGGAAGAAAAAAGTCATTTTTGCATGTGCTTATAAGTTTCTTTTTTTTTTTTTTTTTAACCTCAACGATACGAGGGGACTTTATTGATATTGAAAAAAAGGGTACACCTAGTCAGGGGAGAAATAAACCTAACCCCTCAAAATACAAGAAAAATTATAAAAAAAAATACATGAAAAGAAGGGGGGACATAAACCTTACCCTTCTTGAAACAAAAACAATAAAGATAAAAGAAAAAGAGGAGGGGGGACATAAAACCTAACCCCTCTAAAGCCGAACTTAAAAGTCTAAACTTGCAAAACAAAACAAGCAACATCACAAGGTTAAGAAAAAAAAAAGATAAGAAAGTGAGACAATATAAGTAATTAAATTACTTTATATATTACAATTAGTTTTATAGTAGAAACTCAACTTTTTATATGTTAAAATAAAAAAGATCACCTGTTCAAAAAAAGAAGAAAAGGTCACCTTATGAAGAAGCTCATTGGAGACGTTCTCCTTGAAAATGACTAGAGATAATAAAATCACCAATCAATAAATCCATGATAGCACTCAAGCTAAAGGTTGAGCTCAAATTGATTGGTTTCAAAGCTACCCCAGATCATATTATAAGCCCAGGGCCCAGTGTTGTTCAGAAATGTCCACTTATGTGATCTGTTTTTTTTGGGAAAGGGATCCAGATCTCTTTCTCCTAATTCACCAAATCAGGAAATTTGTATCATTGAAAGTTATAATAATTTCAACCGTTAGATCAAATTTCAATGACATGAATTCCCTGATTTGGTGGATTAGAAGGAAGAGATCCAGAGATGATCCATTTCCTGTTTTTTGGGACAATATGTTTGTTTATTTAGAGCTTCCCATCGCATTGGGACCTGGATCCTCTTTGAGGCAAACCCTCAGGATCCTGCTGAGCGAGAAACACCGGCCGTTGAATTTCGATCCAACGGCTACAAATAGGGGAGTCCCTTTTAAAGTTATAATAATTATAGCTGTTGGATCAAAATCCAACGACCCATGTTTGTCGCTCAGCAGGATCCTGAGGATTTGCCTCGGAGAGGATCCAGTTCCATCGCATCGAACCTTTTTGAAAAAGAAGTACTTCTCGGTAAAATAACTTGTTAGGAGCTTTAAAACTACAAATATATTTTGTAATTTATTATTATTGTTTAGTAATATTTATTTTTTCCCCTTAGAATATAAATGTATCATCAAATAAAACACTCTTAACTACGTAAAAACATTTTGAACTATTCTAAAAACACTTATGCATAAAGCCTATAACTTCAGGGGAAGTTTGGGTTGAGATCATAACAAACTTATTTTCTCATATTTTTTATTTGATTTGCTTGTTTATTAGTGTATACATTTGGTTATGGTGTGTTGTATTTTTGCTTAAGCCAAGTCAACTTTATCCATACTGTACTTGGATGTTTCAAGTGCACAGCACGTCGCTGGTTTTGTTGAGATTAGGTCATCAAACATGTAACATGATGACCTACCAAAACTAGATAAGATGATTACTGCAAAATCATCCACATTCCACACCCCGACCACCCAAATGAAACGAATTATAGGGTATGCAATATACCCACGAAACAATCCACATTTAACACGTACATACGATAACGTATGCTCAATAGTAAAGAGGGAAGCAATTAGCAAGCAACCAAAGAATATATTTTGCATTATGCATGTAACTGTTATTTCTTTTTCTTCTCTTTTTTTTTCTAAAAAAATTTGAAAAAAAGAATTAGGCGATATTAGCTCGTCAACAGTGCGAGACACTAACTCTCTCCTGAAGGAGAAAAGACCGTTGCACCTAAAAAGCCCCCTCACGGACCCCTTTACTAGATTTTTATTAGAAGTATGAAGAAAAAGAAAAAGTAAACCAAGCGGTCGACTAGCCAATACCCACTAAGAACAACTAACAAAAATGACATGTTCTTGAATTGTTGAACGCTTCGCTAAAGGTATACCTAAGAGATAAACAAGATACGAAAAAGACGTCTAATCGACAGCCAACAAGCGTTTCTTTGCTACGACACCCAAAGTAAAGTGTGACGTACAAAGCAGTCAAGAGGGGAAGAGTTAACTTAACTGGTAATTTTTTTTTCCATAATTATTTCTTTGATGTTTATTACTTTATTTGCAGTTGCCTCTTTTGAATAACTGTGCTTGAAAGTCTCTTATCTATTCTGTGGCGAGCGGCTTGATCTAGCTGGTAGTTTCCAAAGGTATAACTGCTTTGTAGTAAAGATGGTCAACTCTACCATCTAAATGTTGAGGTTTCCATCCATATAACCCAACTAATTTAACGCATTCATGAATAGTATCCATCGTTTTAATCTCTAATTACATAATTAAAAGAGATTCTATAGAAAGAAAATGAAAGAAACATTTTTGCGAAGTGAAATAATCCTGCAATCTGTTCGACGAACATGTCAATTCACAGTTAAGGTTGATCGGATCTATGGCATGCATGTTGAAGCCTATCTGACATCTAATGAAGTTAAATATCTTTTTAGATAGAAAAGTGCCAGTATTGCTTGTATCTAGACATGGTATACCAAAATAAAAAAATTTGGTTACCAATGTAGAGTTGCATTAACATGTGGCACAATAAGGAGCCGGCCGATATGAGCTAGGGAGTGTGTTGAAGCATGTTTCACATCGAAAACCTTATGAAATAAAATCCTCTTATAGCGAATGGTTCTATTAGTAATTAAGACCTTATTATCCGTCAAAAGAAACATTATTGATTTGGATTAGTAATGAAGGGTGTATCTTAAATTTTGTCCATGCAAACCAAAATACAGTTATGGCTCTATTTCAAAATCCAAAAACATACTGCAATGTAATTATAAACACGTAAAAATATTTTGTTATTTTTAAAAAGTACGCACCTAGTCAGGTAGAGAAAAAAGCTTATGGTTGCTATTGAGAGTGTTAATTCTTCAAGAAAAAAAAAAAAATCTTATATGTGCTTATAAGTAAGTTGATATTAGAACTTTGCTCTCGTCTTACCCAACTGCATGCCATATTTTTTTCGGCGTTACCTTACTCACCAAACAATTTTAAAATCTTTTAATTGTTTAAATTATTATTTTCTTATTCATAAAATTTGTTTTTTCTTCAGCGCAAGTACTCAAGGACCTGTCGTCCCAATCAGAAATAGCCAAAGACACAGAAACTAACAGGAAGAAAACAAAAGGTCGTCAATTGATGCATATTAATAATTAAAATTAATCCAATTTTTTGAACAAAAAAAATTAATCCAATTTTATGACATAAGATTTCTTTATTAATGCAAAGAACAAAAGTAATAAATGTAAACAGTTTCAATTTCCTTGATATTTTTTCTTATACAGGATACATATTACACGGGCTATCTGGGCTCATAGGAAACCTGTGAGAGTAAAAATCTCAGAGCCTCTAACACTTAGCCGTAAATGAAAACAAAAAATAAAAAACAAAGAAGAGTATTGGGTGCTTGTTTATCTGAATTTTAAGAAGAAATTGAAAAATCTGACAGAAAATTTAAACCATCCTAAGAAATGATATCTATGATTTTCTATATGTGTTACAACTTACAAGCTGCTACTATGCTACCTGATGATCAAATTGAAAGCTTT